GATGTTCTAACAATCAGAGTGAAATTGTACATTATTGGCAGAACCAGTCATATCAAAGGGCTCATGATAGTGATATGTCTTATTTCTGATCATATTTACCTTAATTTGGAAATGCCATTTTAATGCTGCAGAAGGAGAGTGCAAATAGCATTTATAAGGCATCAAGTATATACTAGGCACACTACCTTTGTTCTTTCTATAAGTCTTCTAAAGATTCTGAAAAGTAGGTCCTATTATCTCCATTTTATTGAGTCTCTTAAAAATTATGTAGCTCACCCCAAATCATAAAAGATCTTTCTGACTCCAAAGCCAGGGCTTTTTCTAGCACAAGACAAGCATTTCTTCAACACAGGATACCCCTAAGGCAAACTCAAGTGTATGAAGGATATGAATTGCTATTCTTTTAGAATTTGGTTCCTGATACTATTTTCCTTATGGTAGAGTCTATAGACTCACGTTTTCGGAAATAGTCTTTTGTTATGGATTAACAAAGTCAAGTATTTAGTAATTAAAATTTATAGAAAATGTCTCCATCTTGCACAAAGTCACAGTGCCCTTGACCCTTCCTGTGCAAGGCTCATGATGTTATTTTCTTTTGGGTTATTATAATATAGAAGCCAAAAAACAAGTGCAAAATAATTTCCTAAATTGAACACCATGAGATATTGCTGTTTTCACTCAGTCATATGTAGAAAATACTTGCAACAAACTGAATGTCTGAAAGTCTGTGATTAATTTCTCTCTTCAGAGAGTTTGTATGCAGGGAAGAAAAACACATAAAGCATAGATTCTGCATAGCACTTACATTCTCAATAATTAATGCTCAGACCCTGTGAATGATCCTGCAGTATCATTTAAAGGGTTAACATTTCAAACTGATCTAATATGATGGCTGAATATGAGAAAAGAAAAAGAGGTGAACCTCTGAATAAAAGCAAAATGAGATAATGCATGAAAAGCATTTAGCATAGTGCCTGGTACACAGAGAACACTCCGTAAATTTCAGTTTTTGCTGCTGCTGAAGCTGTCCAAGATGTCACTATTGTTTAACCTGGGGAAGAGGATATGCAGCTGGCTCATTCCCTGCTCTGTGAGACAGAAGATCAGACTGCTATAAATTTAGAAAGGAAGATGGCTACTCTCTGGCCAGTTTGGCAACTATTTATCTTCTGTAAGGGTGCTTGTGCTATGTCATCGCAATGTAATCTAAAAGCACTATTATGAACCCATTTGGGAGCAAGGCTGGAAGCTAAATCAAGGCAATGTGGAAAGGAGTCAGTTAACACAGTTCAAATACTTTTGCAGTTATTTCCATTTGGGCTTCCCATCTGAGAAAGTGGCTTTATTATATAAATAATCATGTTGCCCCAGCTACAGGATGGGTTTCTCAACCTCAGCACTATTGACATGTGGAGTGTTATATATTTGTTGTGGGAGGCTGTGCAATGCAGAATATTTAGAAGCATCTTTACCCTCTATGCCTTAGATGCCATTAGAACCCCCACCTTGGTTGTGATAACCAAACATGTATCCAGACATTTCCAAGTGTCTCTTGGGGGAAGGCAAAATCTCCCTCATTAAGAACCCCTGCTAAAAGGTAAGAGTAATTCCATGCACAAGATAAGTGACCATTGATTCAGACTGGAAATTTGGGGGGGGGGGGGACAGGGAACAGTATTTATTGAGTAATGAGTGCTTTGACAGATGTTACCTTATGTATTTCATGTAATTTTCATAGTAGATCTATGAGATGAGTTTTATTCCCTATTAATGGATAGGAAAACAGAGGCATATAGGAATCAGGTGTTTTGCCCAATCTTCTACTTACCTGTACCTGTTCTGTGGTGGGATTGAGATTTGACAACAAAGCCTGTGCTCATCCTGTTGTTCCCTCATGACTCTCAGTCCACAAAAGGCCTGGCGTGTGCAGTTGCTTCTGCCCAGGAGGAGGAGAATTACATTTACCAAATACAAGTGGTTAGTAAGCTATTGTCTCTCAGAACTAGTCACCAATCTTTACCGTGCTTTATGACACTATGGCTAGAACTCAGTTAAACTACATTTCCCCCTTATCAGTTAGCTTCCTGTTTGGTTTCCTAGAGGAAGATAGGCAGGCAGGATGAGAGAAACGGGAATTTCTTCTTTCTATACGCTAGCTGTTCTTGTCACCAAGGCTGATTTTGCAACTGCTACTGCTGAATACCTGAACTACTAACAAAAGAAACTAATACTAAGTCCCCAAGATGGCAGCATTCTCCCAGGGGACCAGCCAGCCACCTGGTGGCAGGTTAATTACACTGGATCCCTTCTCTCACCTACCGAGTAGTGTTCTCTCTTCACTTGAGTAGACATGTCTTCTAGATATTGATTTGCCTTCCCTGCCAATAATGTTTCTGCCAGCACCACCATCTGTGTACACACATAATGCTTTATTCACTATCGTGATGTCCCACAAATCATTGCTACTGACCAACAACTCAGTTCAGAGGGAAAAAATGAGGCAATGAGCACATGCCCATGGAATTCATTGATCTTATTTTATACTCCATCACCCAGAAGCATCAACTAATAGAAGGAAGCATAGCCCAACTAAAGGTTTAGTTATGACAGTTGGGAGATAGATAAGACAAAAAACATGGAGCTCTTCCTCACTGGAGACAGAAAATACTTTAAGTCAGCAAATAATATCTATGTGCAGCTCCCTCACACAAAAATCATGGGCCCTGGAATTAAGGGATGAAAGTGGGAATGTCCCCTCTCAACATTATGGCTAATACCTTGTTCATAGAAGGTTTTTCTTTTAAACCTATTACTTAAGTTGTACTGTTTTAGAGGACTTAGTTCCAAGCAAAGGACACAACCATAATTTTATTGAATTGGAAGTTGAAACTGACATTGGCCATTTTGGGTTCCTGATGCCCCTGAATCCAAAGGCAAAGGTAAAGTCATGCTCTGATTGAAATGACTGATCTGGTTTACCAAGAGGAGACTAAGTTGCTGCTACTCATTGGGGTCAGGCTAAATTACAGTTGGAATCCAAGGGATTCTCTGGGGATCATTCTAGTACTTTCTATGTCTAAAAGTAAAAGGTAATATTAACCCTCCCATAAAACAAAACAAAACATAAAACAAAAAACAAGCAGAACCATCTAGCCAGGTAAAATATCTATAATAGCAACCAGTTCAGCTACTTCAGGGATCAAGGAATATGAATGACTGTTGGAAGAAAGTTATTAATATCAGTGATGGCATTATGAATGCTGTGTCTTCAGTTATAGAAATGAAGTCTTCAGTGATATTTTCTTCCTTACCTGTTGTGTGTGTGGTATCAATTCCTTTTTTCTCCCTTCACTTTTTCTCTTATTATTTTATAGTCTCCTTTTATACTTTAAAATTATTTTAGATTCAGAAATTACAAAAATAGACACAACTTAGTCTTTAGCTTGCAGAATATTCAGGCATGATTGTGACAGAACTCCAAGAGAAATAAATTTTCTCCATGAAGAGAGTGACTGCCAAGCAGAGATGACTGTTGTAATAGTTGAAAATTTTACATTCCTTTTCTCCACATCCACGCCAGCATCTCTGGTTTTGGGATAAAGAATAATAAATTTGTTACTTTGGTTGAATATCATTTAAAATACGTGTAAACAAATACGCAAGGATCCTAAAGTGCCGCAGGTCTCGATTCCATCAATCTTCAGGCCATTAGTAACTCAAAGCTATACTCTGTTTTGAGGCTGGAACTCAACAAAACTACATTTCTCCCTTGCCATTTAGCTTCTTGTGAAGTCCTGATGGTAAGGGGAGCTAGACAGAGATTAAAAGGCTGGAGGAGAGAAAAAGAGAAATCCCTTTCTCCCATTAGCTGGCTGTTGCCGTGAGTGTTGTGCTAATAGCAATCTGAGCAGTGCAATTGGTTCAAGGTATTTTTTCTATCTCCAAACAAGCTTTATCATGTTTCCTCAGAGGGACCAGAAGTATCCAGTTTGGACCCTTCATTAGTGGTCTGCCCCTTAGATCCACAGAGCCCTTCTTGCCAGATAGTTTTATTTGAAATAGCTTTATTGGGATGTAACTTACATACCATTAAATTCACTCACTTAAAGTAAAAAGTTCAGTATTTTTTAATATACTCACAAAGTTATGCAACCATCAACACAACTTAAGAACAATTTTAGAACATTTTGGCCACCCAAAAAGAAACCCAGTACCCATTAGTAGTCATTTTTCATTTTCTACCCGCTCTAGGCCTAAGCAACCAGTAACCTGCTTTAAGTCTCTGAGTTTGCCTACATTGGACATTTCATGTAAATGAAATTGTATAGTTTATGGTTTTGTGACTGTTTCTTTCGCTTAGCATGATGTTTTCAAGATTCCTCCATGCTATAGCATATATCAGGACTGCATTCCTGTTTTGTGACTGAAGAGTATTCCATCATACAGATAGACCAATTCTGTTTATCCATTCATCAGTTGATGGATACTTGGATTGTTTCTCCTTTTTGGCTGTTAAGAATATTTCTATTATGAACATTTGTGCACAAGTTTGGTATAGACATATATTTCCATTTCTCTCAGGTATGTATGTAAAACTGGAATTACTAGGCTATATGGTACTTTTTTCCTTTACTTTCTTTTTTATTTCAAATTAATATGAGGGTACAAAATTTTAGGTTACATTGTTCTCACTTCCAAGGTAAAGTTCAAGTTGTAAGAGAGCCTCTTACCAGTAGGCATGTCAAACAGACTCGCATTGTATACACTAGGTGAGATCTTGCCAAATGCCCTCCCTCCTCCCACCCATCATCTTTTGCCCTCCCCTCCCTCCTCGCCCTGCCCCCTTGCTAGACTATATTTATGTTTTCTCATTTGTATGAGCATGTAATTGTTTATATATTGGTTTCATATCATTATTGAATACATTGGATATTAATTTTTCCATTCTTGAGATACTTTATTAAGAAGAATGTATTTCAACTCCATCCAGGTAAACATTAAAAAATATGGAACACTTTACAAATTTTCATGCCGTCTTTGCACGGGGGCCATGCTAATCTGCTCTGTATTGTTCCAGTTTTGGTATATGTGCTGCTGAAGTGAGCACTCTATGGTATTTTTTAAGTTTTTTAATTTTCTGATCATCACATTTCTGTATTTTATTCCCCCTCAGCAGTAGCAGTTCCTTCCTGTGGTTATATTTCCTAGATTACCTCAATGTTCCCTTTCTGATCTTTCTACCCTCCAATGACTGCGCGATCTGTTCCCTGCATTAAGTTTCCTCAGCTGAGGCAGCTAGTATGGTTTCCGTATTTCTGACTAGGCCCTCAATAATATAATCCTATCAAGCATCCTAACTAGTTATCCATATTCACTGGGCAAGGAACAGAAATCTCTTTAAACCTTAGCACATCAGATAGAAAGAACTTTCACACAATGAAGGCTCTTAAACCTTGGCATATATGCTGTTACTCAGTAGCAGGATTTAATTTGAATAGACTAAATGCATGGCCCCCCTGAGATAATATATTAAGCATTTGTCTGAAATGGTTTAAGGTCAATAACACTTAAATCGTTTAGGAAAATTGGTTCCTTCATTGCTTCCCTTCTTCACTTATTCATTTGCTTAATAGTTATTTATTCATCATTTACGTTGTTCCAGGCATTGGTGAAAGATGCTGGTGAAATATCAGTGAATAAAACAGTGAAAAATGTTAATATTATAATTATATAGTTACATTTTGGTGGAAGAGAGGGAAAGAGAGTATACAAGAAAATGTAATATTAAGCATAAGATGGTGTATGGTGACATGAAGACATTTTTTTTTTTGAGACAGAGTCTTACTATATTGCCCTCGGTAGAGTGCCATGGCATCACAGCTCACAGCTACCTTAAAGTGCTGGGCTTAAGCAATTCTCTTGCCTCAGCCTCCCGAAGAACTAGAATTATAGGCACCTGCCACAATGCCTGGCTATTTTTTGTTGCAGTTGTCATTGTTGTTTAGCTGGATTGAACCAGGCTGGGATGGAACCCACCAGCTTCTGTGTATGTGGCTGGCACCATAACCACTGTGCTATGGGTGTTGAGCCGTGATATGAAGAAATTTAAAATATGGAGGAAAGATAAGGAGGGCTGAGTTTCGGAGTACATTTTTAAATGAGCTGGTCAGGAAGTTTCACTGTGAAGGTAACATTTTAGAAAAACCCCAGAAGAGATTAGGAAGAAAGCATGTGGATATTTGGGGAAAGGGTGTTCCAGGCAGAGAGAACAGCAAGTTTTCCCCCTCCAAGCCCTGAGTTGGGAGAATGCCTCGTTGTCCAAAGAATAGGAAGGAGGCCACTGTGGCTGGACTTGAATCCAAGGGAAAAGCCATGGAAGAGAAGGTTAGAGGCAATGGAGGGTCAGCATTGTGGGGCTTTGTAGGCCTCTATAAGGATGTAGGCTTTAATATGAGTGTTAACAGGAGGCCAATGGAGGTTTTACACAGGGGAATGGCATGACCTGACTTACATTTTAAACAGATTACTCTAGCCCCTGAAAATAGATTGCATTAGTGCAATCAACAGGCAATAATCCAAACAGAATTTTGTGAAAGGCAGTGGGGAAATAAGTAGTTGGATTCTCAATTTGCTGACAGATCAGGTGTGTGAGATGGGAGCGAGGAGCCAAAGACGACTCCAAGAATTTCAGCCTGAGTAACTGGAAAAAATGGAATTGCCTATTACTGAGACAAAAAAAAAAAAACTGTAGTAGGAAAAGGTCTCCAGGAGAAAGATCATGAATTTGGTTTTGCTTATGGTAAGTTTGACATGTCTGTTATACATCCAAATGGAGATGTCAGGAAGTCAGCTGGATATACAAACCTGGAGTTCAGGAGAGATATAAATTTGGAGTTCTTGATGTACATATAGTATTTATAGTCATTAAAATAAATGATAATATCAAGGGGAAAATTTTATGTAATTTCAAGGAGAAAAGTGCAATTAATATTGTGATAATTTCCATCCTAGGACCTCATGACACTATGGCTATATAGAAACATACATGTAACAGTTACATCTCTGTTCTGTGATGAATGCTTTGCATTTATGTATGGCTTAAAAATATCAATTAGTAATTTCCTGTACAGACATGATAAATAAAACAAACAAGAATGATACCATAGGTATTTCATAGATTTTTATAATTTAATTCTGCTATGGTAAAATATTTTTGTCATTTGTCTTCAACATGTGGCTCTACATCAGACTTTATACTGTTTTATCAATTCTATCTTAGAGCAAAATGTAAGGAAAAAGGAGAAAGTAAATGTATTGATTGGATGGCTAAGCTATTCTATGATGACAAAACCCCCAGCAGTCTAACCGGGTTACACACGTATCTCTCTCACACATTAAAAGTGCAGCATAGATGGTCAGTGAGGAGCTTCCTCATACTGTCCTTGGTGGTTATGGTTACAGAGACTCTGCCTTCTTGTAGTGGCACCATCTGGAACACATCATTTCCAAAGGTGTAGCTGCAGCAACTAGACAAATGGATGGATGCTTTTAAGAATTCAGTTTGGGAATGGCTTAGGTAATTCCCACAAATCCCACCAGACAGAACCCCGTTGTGTGGTCTCAACTGCAAAGAGGCTAGGGAAGTAAGTCTTGTCTGCCCAGGAAGAGGAAAACAAAAGTCTGGCAACCAGATAGCCTATCTCTGCTAAAGGAGTGGAGAGTAAGGAAAAGAAAGATTTCAATAAAATGAATCTCTTTCTAAAGTTTCTAACTGCTTTGGTTTGGAACTGAGACTTGTATTTCTTTCAAGTGAATTGCCTCCCTCCTTTGCAAAGAACTTTAAGAAAACTTCTGTTTCTTTTTCAAACCATGTGACTTGAAAAGACTTAAGAAGAATCCTGACATCATTTATAAATACCTGAGTTATGTGAGAACAGGTATTTTCTCTATAAAATATATAGGCTTATGCAAATTATTTATAGTTCTTCATATCTTTGTACACAATCATAAGTAGCCTAGGAAACTGCAACATTAAAAAAGGCTGAGAAAGGCAGATGCCTAGAATGACACCTACCCAGTGTTTTGCAACCTTTTTTTATCTCACGGCACACTCGAACCTAGTTAAACTTCCATGTCAAACTTAAATTATGTTATAAAAAAAAAGAGTGTAAAAAAGAGTATACTAACTATGCTTTGAGCTTCTTTTGAAAATAATTTAATTAATGATCTTTACAAATTTCCACAGCACACCTAAGTGTCCTCTTATGGCACCCAGTGTGCTGCAGCCCAACAGTTGAAAACTCACTGCTCTAAGGTGTGAAAGGTGTAGGGAAGGTAGGCATGGGCTGGGAGGCAGAGTGTGATAGTCTGTAAGTGGTGATAAGAAGACAAATAAGAAAGGCAGCATTTAGTGCAGTACACAGAATATTTTGACAAGCAGGTCCAGCAAAGACTCCACAGGGCCCAAATTAAAATTGTACACAGATAGCATAAAAGTTGAAAGGCAAGTAAACAAAATACCCCACAAAACCACTCAAAGATAGGTCTACAGTTTTCAGATGAGGCAAGGTCCCAGTGCCAGAAAATCTTTAAAGAGGGAAAAAAAGGAAAAGGGTCTGAATTAGAAAACCAGGTTATCAGTGGAAGAATATAAAGTAAATGTTCTCAACATTGACGACACGTTAGAATTGTTTGGGGCACTTCTCAGAGGACCAAAAAACCAATTAAATCATCTAGGGGTGGGTTCCAGTCATCAGTAAGTCTTCAGACTCCCCAGGCATATCTAATATTTAACCAAGTGTGCACACCTTTAAGCAGATGAGCATCTAGCGGTTCTCAACCTGTGGGTCGCAACCCACAGGAGCTGCATTAAAAGGTCGCAGCATTAGGAAAGTTGAGAACCACTGCTCAGGGTGATAAATTGTACATTTTTGATCTTTCCAACTAAAATCAGGACTGGCTTAAAGGCTGGCAGTCTACAGATCCATAGGAGAATTTAAAAACTCTTGATGTTCTAGGAGTCCTTACTTAGCTGTACAAATGTGTATGTCTGTCCTGAGAAACCTACATATTTGCCACCCGTTCTGGGGTCTGATAATAACCCATAGAATTGATGTATTGGTGAAAACAAACTAGGAAGTTACAATGAATCCTTCCCATTTATGACTTCAATTTTAAAATATCTAATGTATTTTAAAAGATTTTAAAATCTTGTTATTCAAAAGTAGGGCCAGATAGCTAAGCATTTTTAAAAGAAAGGAGCTTTTTGGTAATTAAAACATTCAATGTAATGTAATAAGGAAGCCTTGGATTATAAAGCTTTGGCAGTGCTGATTTCTCAGTAACTAAACCCAGGTGGAACCCCTCATGGCAGTCATAGTCACTGTTCTCCACTATACCCAACCATCAGTCTGGGTGCCTGGAGCAGCCCAATGAGACTAAAGGAAATAACACTACTCTCCTTAGTGTCTATGTCTCCCTCTTTTCTCCTGCTAATAATACCAACAATACCATGACTATAGTTGCCATGGAAACTATAGACCCATGCAAAACACAGTTGAGTTTTGAGGGCTCTACATGTGTGACTAAAAATAAAAAGAGTGAGAATTTTCCAAGTGTGACCTAAGGAAATGAAATGGCCACTGGGTCTTGTTCTGACTTAAGAGTATTATAAAACTTACTTTTACCAGTTTCCTTAAAGAAATGAAACCATGTACAGAAATATTCACTAGATCTATAACGAAGTAGCAATGGTAACCTTATAGTAGCAGTCATTTAAGCCTTGGCATAATCTCAATTGATTGATGGTTAAGATTTGTAATTCCTTCTTTCATTTTTTCATTCACTTAATTATTTATTCTTTCAATAAATATTTGTTGACCATAACTACAGGTTAGAACACATACCAGATGCTGGATACACAAAGATGAATAAGACATCAGGGTCTTGTTATAAAACATGTTCCACCAAAGCAACAAATGTATACAGGACTTATTTGTACATGTACATTTGAGTTCCACTTAAAAGAATTGATATATGAAAATCTAAACTTAACAAAGGATAAATAAGGAAGTGATGTTGCTGGCTTCCAAAAACTTGCCATGAAAT